CTGATACTTGTGTGCCACCACAAATAATAGATATTTTGAAAAATTTGAAAAAACCGTTGAAAAAGCAAAATAACGCCTTTTACGTCGTATTTTTTGTTGGCATTTTTGTGTTGCTTATATTACCCACAATTAACCGGCTCATGTATTATTATGTTTAATTAAATAATCAATTAACGGTCACCGTGCTTTTTTTTTAAAGTGGAGCTGAATTGGTATAATCGTATTGGCTAAATTTCACACATTTTGGGTTCTTAAATTACCTTCATAGCAAGTTTAGGTTCTAAAAGGGCACTATAAATGTCATAGATAAGAATAAGAGCAATAGCCATGCACTATGAACGCATTTGCGGTCTGAAACAGAACTCACCTATCCCTTTAACTCCGCGCTAAGACTTCAGCAGCGACCGTGCGATGCCCTTAAAACAAGCGGTGCCCGAGCGAAATTGGCTCAAAACTCGCCGCCCGTCTGCCGAACAGGCTACTTTTAGGTGTTGTGACCATATCTTTTGATTAATACATAAGCGAAAAAGTTTCTCGATCGGTCGCTACGCTCCCTCGCATAATATCATTCAAAATGAACAAGTATTGTAGAAAATCTGTATTCCATTGGTATCAGGTGAGTAAACAGTTTACGCTATGCCCCCTCGCCCCTCGTATTTTGCCCCCCCCCCCCCCCATGAAAAGAAATTGGCGCCCCTGTCTAGGCCTATATATGGTTTTGGTAAATAAATAAAAGCTGCTCTGGCATTGTCTACATGCTATTGCGCAACATCTGTCTGGGAAAATTCAACATAACCGGGTATTGCGAAATAATAACAAGCGTTCACATACAATTGTTGAAATGCCATTGTAGCATATTTTACACACCTAGCCCCCCCCCCCCAAAAAAAAAAACATACAAACACATCTTCTCTCTATATATCTCTCACACTCACACATACAATCCTCTTCTCTCTCTCTCTCTCTCTCAAACACACACATACACCACTACACGTTTATGGCGTCAAACGTGGACCAAGTTTAGTACTTGTATGTGTGTGCATGGGTAATCGCCTGCAACCGCGGACCACTCCATAGAAAACTACATCAAACCGCGGACGTACCTGCTATGGGATGATAGCAGGTAGCGCGCCTTTCCCGCGCAGTCATCGAAGGGGGCGCTGTGGCATTTCGCGATACACATAGGACTGATCCACTCGACGTTGCCTACACGCTGTGACATCTAATATTCAAACGCCCCCTACGTCATAAATGTTATACGGCGGAACCGGTATCGCAACCGTGGACGGTCCCCCATTGCAGGTACGTCCGCGGTTTGAGGTAGTTTTCTATGGAGTGGTCCGCGGTTGATGGCGTTTACCTACGCAAGCACTCACACATCACACATATTTCTCCCCCTCTCTCATATATACACACATGTACACGCACACATCTTATTTCTCTCTATCTCTATCTCTCTCTCTCTCTCTCTCTCATACACGCATCTTCTCTCTCACACACACACACACACACACGCATGAAAATCCTAGACTCACACTTGAACAGCCTTACTCGCCTGTCACTGTTTGTCAATGACAAGGTAGACAAAAATACACCTGTGCACTGTTACCCATAAAGTTGGAATACTTTTTCTTGACCTCTTTTCATGACATAATTGCAAAATATGATTTATTATTTATAGATGAAGATAACAGTTACGTATTTTCATAGTTTTATAGATCTGAAGGGTCGTAGAGATTGATCAATAAAGCTCTTAAAAGATAGAAATGTTATCAAGAATTAATTGTAACAGTTATTTTTAATGAAAGGAGGTGAAGAAAAATATTCCAACTTTCTTGGTAACATTGTATGCATTACTGAAAATCGTTCCAATCGCATCTCATTCATCATAACGTAAATTAATACCATGAATTCCTGAAAGACAACCACTATGTTCAAATAATGTATGCCTAGGCCTAAAGGCGGCGATCCTGGGGGATGGGGGACTCGCCCCCCTCCCCCCCCCCCCCCCCCCCCACCTGAAAATTTAAAAAAAATTGCAAAAAATATGTAAGGAAAATACTGACTCTAAAGACTACGTCAAACTTGTTCGGTGTTGGAGTGCCCAAGAGTGCAGCTTAACGATTAATAAAAAGGAAAATAATGTCTCGTTCGGTCGCTACGCTCCCTCGCATAATATCCTTCAAAATGTAGGCCTACAAGTAAGTATTGTAGAAAATCTGTATTCCGTTGGTATCACGCACGTACAGTTTACGCTATGCTCCCTCGCCCCTTACATTTCTCTCTCCCCCCCCCCCCCCTGGTCATGAAAAGAAATCGTTGCCCCTGTCTAGGACTTTATATGGTATTGGTAAATAAATAAAAGCTGCGCTGACATTTTCTACATGCTATTGCGCAACATCTGCCTGGGGAAATCCAACATAACCGGGTATTGCGAAATAATAACAAGCGTTCACATACAATTTGTGAAATGCCATTGTTGCATATTTTACACACCTAGCCCCCCCCCCCCCCCCACACACACACACACACACACACGCACATCTTCTCTTTACATATATCTCTCACACTCACACATACAATCCTCTTCTCTCTCTCTCTCTCTCAATCACACACCTACGAGTACGCACACATCACACACACACACATGTTATATTTCTCTATCTCATACATATACACCTCTTTTCTTTCTCTCTCTCTCACCAACACATACACACATATTCTCTCTCTATCTCCCCCTCTCTCATATATACACACACGTACATGAACATGAACTAAAACCTCAGGATTTAAGACTTACAATACAATAACTACAATAAAGTCTACACATTGGTTTTAAAATAACTTAATTAGTTGATAAGTGATAAGTATAACGTCTCTATTATGACAACGGAAAGCTGTGATGCACTATATATAAAGAGATGTCATATTTTATCTAGCAGTTGGCAAACAATTAACAAATCCTGTTCACAATCATTTGCAAACACTTGCTTGCATTCCAATGTGTAATATATTACCTCTGATCTTTAATAGGATTATGGTCAAACATATCAGTAATATTTATGCGACAGTCGCCGCAATTATACCCCAAAAAGGATTTGTTCATATTGTTAAGAAAATATATGACACGTACAATAATTGTAGTTTACTAACTGATAATCAAATAATATACTTTTTTATTTATTTACTCGTTAAGTATATCTGTAATGCACTTATAGTTAACGCAAGCAGTATTATACATTTGACCCACCCCGCCCCGGTCCGATTGGCAGCACTAAATGCGAAATTTGACCCATAATGGGCGGTTTTCTGCTCTCATAACATACAATGAATGAGTTAATATATGAAATGTAAAATATACAGCATTTTCCATACGAGTGGTAACATAATACAATACACGATCAAAATGGAAACAAAATGGTCGCAGCCAATTAAATGCAACGATTTCAGTAGCTTTTAACAGTTATTGTAACTTGTAACAGTTATTGTAACTTGTAACAAGTTCAATAAAACGGATGTGACGTGGGGATGACGTATGGTTCTATTGAATGTGTAAATACCTTCGGTTCAAAGTTGGTTCTCATTCTTGTCTTGTTTGTTTATAGTTCGATGAACTATAAGGTGATTCCATGCATTGTGTTCCTTTCGACTTTGAACATTTATCCAATTATTTCATTTACAAATAAAAAATATCTTGATATGACTTTTGACCATTAGCTCTTTCTGGTATCATCACGTTTATGAAATGGTCATATCTAGATGTTTTTTTTTTATTTTTGAATGAAATAAATGGGAAAGGCATTTAGGAGACACACTATTTAAAATTGCCCTACACAGGTTTTCATTGGTCAATTCTAGATTATTTACTAATATATATACATTTTTTTTTACTGCTTGATTGTTTCGTACGTTGAAGCAACAATGGTTAATTTTTTCAATTTAACAGTTAGACCTACTGTATTTTGGATTCTTGATTAGGATGGATCTTCTACTGCGATGCCTCCACCACGAAACAATTTTAAAAATTTGAACATACATGTCCTGAGTTTGATATTAATCCTTCCGTCGGTTCTATTGATCAATTGACAATTTTTGTACAAATGAGCCCCCAAGACCTTTGACCTTTGACCTAATGACCCCGAAATCTAATCAGTTCATTGAATCGTAGAGGTGTTGTGGATGAGTGGATACGTCGCCGGACTGTCGATCACAAGGTCCGCGGTTCGAGTCCCGCCGCGGCACTAATGTCCTTTGGCAAGACATTGATCTACATTTGCCACTCTCCACCCAGGTGTTAAATGGGTACCGGTAGGAAGGAATTCCTTAAAATGCTGTGAGCGTCGAAATCGGCAGCCTAGCATAGCCGGGTAATGTTGGAGCGCCTTGAGGACCTTTGCAAGGTCGATACGTGCGCTATATAAGAATCCAATATTATTATTATTATTATTATTAATCTGCAAGATACATACATGACCCAAGTTTGGCGGTAATCCATCAATCGGTTCTTGAAATAACGCTATCACGAGCTATTTTTGCATACATAATGAGCCCTGTGACATTTGACCTTTGACCTCGTGACCCCAAAATCTAATCAGCTCATTGGCTCTGCAAGATAGATACACGACCTAAGTTTGGCGGGAATCAATCAATCAGTTCTTGGGATAACGCGATCACGAGAACGTGACGTATGGAAGGACGGACAACCCAAACACATAATGCCTTCGGCTACTTTGTAGCGGAGGCATCACAAATTAAATGACTTCAAATAACTAAATTTACAATGTGTGTTTTTTTCTGATAACATCAGCATGGCATCTCTATTGAAAATATCATGAGAAATAACGTCAAGAGAAGGTGTAGTTGATTTCTACTTCAGTTAATGTTCGACGGTATACATGTCGACAGTTGGTAATGAAATGCCGAACATCTTTAATATGAAAAGTGAACGAGAGGACTATCGGAGAAGGGAAATAAAGTTGTCTACGATAATATTAGGACAGCCTGTATGCTTACCAAATGCTATCAAATTTCAATTCTAATGCAAATCATTCAGGTCGAAATTCGCCATGTTATTAGCTTCTTCCGACCATGCTGCATATCGCGCCCCGTCCATCTCTGAAGCAACTCTATTGCCCTCTGTCAGTCGGTGTTGGGTGCCCCCAATTACTTGACCACATTCAGGGCACTTGCCCGTCTCCATGGCACCACCACATTCCCCGATGGCGTAGACATGCCCTCTGGGGCATTTTAACCAATGACCTGTGGTCAGACCTATGGCGGCGACTATTTCCTTCCTCTCTTTCTCGCTAATTCCCAACCCACCGGACTTGTAATCGATCTTCTTGAGTAGATCGTTGACTTCATTTGCTCGTTGGGCAGTCATAGCCTTTCCGTCAAAGAGTTGAAGCTCGGCGGCCTTGACCTCTTCGCTGGCTTTGTCACGAGCAGCTGGTTTCTTGACCAGGATCTTGAAAAGATTCAAGGCTAAGTGGAACCTCTTCGCTTCTCTGTTGGCGTCACCGGTCTGCTGTTGGGACATCCTGTTTATAGGCTCCTTACACAACCAAGTCTGCAGGACAACTATCTCACTCTTCATCTGCTTAACGTACTGCTGATTTAGGGATGGAGATCGCAGCGACTGCAATTCTTTAGCCAGGTCTATCATTTCCTCCAGAAAGCGGACTCTGTTTTCCAAAGCGGTGATTTGTCCATGGCTCAACGCAAGCGTCGAACTGACTATGGTTTCGAATAATAGGAACAGTTGCTGATCCCTTGCTATGGCACACACCACTTCTCGATGAATTCTTTCTTGTAGGTTCTGACGGAGATTTTGGATTGTCCTTTCGTTGCCGAAGATTCTTCTTTTAACAGCATTTATATCATCCAGTGCTTGTTTGATGATGTTTCCGTATCGCAGATTGCGTCTGATCGGTGTTTTGCACCATGGACACTCTTTCAGCTGTCAAAGGAATAAAAAAAAGTTCAGAAATGGCTTACATATCATTTTCCTTTCAATTCCTTTTTAATGTAACACGTACGTTTTGAAAAATGGGTCGAGATTCCCTTCGTTATGTTCAAATTCGTTGTACTTCTTCTTTCTTTTTTTTATTATTGGAGCAATGAAAAATGTTTGAAGATAACGTGGAAATATCTTAAACAATAAAGAAGCAACCTCTAATTAGTCCAAAATTGTGTCGGAACAGAAATGAAAAGACGTCACAAACTCCATTTTATCAAAACAGCAAAAGGGAGTCATGAGCAAAAGAAGAAAATAAATTGTTTTCCACCGCGTTCTCAATGCAAATGTTTACAGAATAGTAAAACAAAATATTCACGACAAATAATTCTTGGATACCTTAATGGAGGTCGCCTCTGACGTGTCCTTGCTTCCACTATCCGTCTTCATCCATTGGTCCAGGGCATTCGCTTCAATCACGTGCTTACAGTCCTCTAACTCCACAAATCTGAACAGGAGAGATGATATGGACGTAACGTCTTATTTGCGACACTTGAGAAAAAATATTATTGTTAAATCGTTGAAATCTGTACATTGAAGTTCATGTAATTATAGAGTAAAGGTAAGATTTTTATATCATATCGTCATCAGTAATTATTATTCTCTTCTTCTTTTTGTTTTGTTTTTGTATGTTTATCGAAACTGTCAAGTAATTGCACTCCATTCTTCGAATTAGCATTTCATCCTCTTCATTTCGTAAGTAAACTTTATCACAAGCTATTTTATACGTTTCTTCTATATATGAACATTAATCTAAAGACATATGACATATTTAGGGCCCAACCTCCTTGGAATCTCTTTGTTAATGTATTTGTAAAAAATAACCAAAAAAAATCTCACCGAGCATCATTGTCCTCTTCGTCGCCAAAGAGAATCCTAGTTACTTCATCCTTATCACAGATTCTGCACTTCTTGGGGCATGGTTCGCCACAGAGTCCGATGCAAGGGTGGCCACACTTCAGCAGGACCGCACAAGGGTCATTACACGCACGTCTGTCGCATGGTTTTCCACATTGTGCCCCACAGCGAAAATGTTGACATCGCCAGATGCATCTCTCTGCACACGGAACACAAGGTTCTCCACATTTTTTCTTGCATTTGCTATGTTGACATCTGTTTTCGCACTTCCTCGAACATGCTGGACAATCCGCAGCACATGTCGACCGGCACGGGTGACCGCAAACGAGTGTACGATCGCATTTTTCTCTGCAGAATGCATGCAGACGTCCTTGGTGGCACTTGCCGCATGAACCCTTGCATGGATGTTCACAACTCAGAATCTTATCACATGGTTGCGAACAGGACTCAGGACCAGCAGAGCATTTGGCGAGGACATTATGGCCACAAGGCCAGTCAGAATGACGAATCATTTCCTGGCAGACCACTGTACAGCCCTTTCCACACAGCTCCTTGCATTGATGCCCGCAATCCAGTCTCCTGCGGCATGGAGATTCGCAGATTACTTCTGAGCTGCTTTTGTAGCAAGGCACCTTCTGGACGTGACCACAAGGCAGTGTCTTATCAACAGGTTTTTTGCACTGCGTGTCACAAGGCTGGTAGCACTGCTTCATGCATCGATGACCTAAGGGGCAAATTGTCTGAGTACACTTTTGACGGCACTTGTAGTTTTCATGTTTCATGTCGGTGGGGTGGCATGGCATTCGGCAAACATGACCACAGGTAAGACGTGCCTCACATGGTACGGAACAACCGCCTTCTGGGACTTTTGAAAAATCCGCTTCACTTGAAACCTCATTTTGTGTCCCAGTGTGATTTCTGCACTGGAGCTTAAGGGATTTTCCGATGGTGCGATAGATTTCAGCGTCCTTCACGATTTCCCTCCACAAGCTTGGCCCACTTGGGTTTTGTTGTGCGAGGAGTTTGAAATTTCCGATGCAGTAGAGACCCTTTCTTGCTCTCGAGAGCGCTACGCAGATTCTGTTGTCGATCTTCAAGAAGCCAGCACTTCCCTGCTTGTTGCTGCGAACGAGAGAGAGTAGAATTATGTCGTTTTCCTCTCCCTGGAAGTTGTCAACTGTAGCAACTCTGACACCTTCAAAGTCACTCTTTTTCATCAAGCTCTTAAAGGCAAAGAGTTGACCGGAATAGGTAGTCAAGATCGTGATCTGCTCTGGAAAGTAGCCCTGCTGCAAGAAGTACCTGCAAAGTCCTACCAAGAACTTTGCCTCGTGAATGTTGGAGTGACTCTTCATTTCATCCACAGAATCTTCTTCCATTTCATGATGAAGGAAGAAGATGTTCTTTGTAACCCCGTGGATATCGTCGAACTTCTTCACAGAGACGTCATCTTGGAGATATGGGTACAATCTTTCCATCCTCATTAGTCGGGAAATTTCAGGCCTCATCCTATGCTGTAGGATCAAGCGCTGATGAGGTACGCCATTGTTGATCATACGTTCAAACAGAGATATGTCCAGGTTATACTGCGTAGCTAATTTGAAGACCGTAGGACTTGGCCGAAGTTGTTGGTGATCTCCAATCAATATGAGATGTTGACATGACTCAGTCAATGCAGTCACAATATGGGCTTCTAACACCTCTGCAGCTTCCTCGACCACCATAATTCTAGGCTGGATTCTCTGAAGAAGCATATGGAACTTGGCAGCTCCAGTTGTTGTCATTCCAACGATCGAGGCATTTTTGAGGATTTCAAAATCTTCTTGACTGCGTGCCTCGCGTAGCTCCTGACAAACTTTTGCGAATTGCCGTTGCATATCCACGAGCTGACGAAGAGATTCATGGCGATGTAAATGAGCCCAATAGCGGTATAACCTCCATCGCTTTCCTTCTTCAAGACCCCAAACGTTTATAACGGTGTTTGCCTCTTGGTCGGACATTCTTTCATTACTCCTGAGCTTTCTCTCCAAGTTGTGCTTCCTATTTCTGATATGCTGTCGGTCTTGTTGCCACTCTCCCGCTTCCAAGTTGTCAAGATCGTTCAGTCGGAAAACCAAAAGTTCATCATCGAAGTTGGCATTCGCATCGCCTGTGAATATTCTATTTCGTTGGTCGTCAACGTCCAGGCGCCTCATCTCGTCAAGGAGATCCGCCTCCTCTAAGATATCAAGCTCTTCTTCTCCTTCGTCATTTTCGTCTTCATTTTGTGGTCCGTTATCTTCCGGAACATCAAGCTCCTCAGGTGAAGTGCCATCTGAATATCACCAAGGAGCCAATGGACGAGAGGGGACTGGCCACCTACTTCAAAGATGTTTCCGTGGTTGAGGCTGATTTCTTGTGCGATAGTCATGTGCTCCGTGAGTACTCTTTCGTGAAGTAGTCCCTTCCTCGTATGGTTAATCTTGTCCTGAAGGCCTTTGACTTCTCTCCCGAGACTTTCGATTTCGCCACGAACCTCTCCGATTCTACGTCTCACGTGTCGAGGTGTCTCTTCTCGAAGCTTTGAGCTCCTGAGTGAATTGAGGTTGAACCGCTTCAGAGCCTCGCTAGAACTTCGACCACCAACTCTCACGATACCTTCACTGTTATAATCTGCAACTCCTTCCAGAAACTGATCTAAAGCATGGTTTGTATAGCAGACGAGTAGGATTGGTTTGTTCGCACGGCCTGCGTGTCCGGCCAGTTCTAGAACTTGAGCTTCTTTCCAAATACGCTTGTTATCGAGAAGAGTGTGAACTATCTTCAACCCGATGTAAGTTTTTCCAGTACCAGGTGGGCCTTGTATGACCGTCATCTCTTGAGTAAGTGCTGCTTGCACGGCTCGAAGCTGGGATTCGTCAAGACCAGTGTTCCCTAGTCTTGTCCATTCACGACCATCGAGAATCCTCACGGTCTTCATACGCATTGCTGTGTGCTTTGCGTTTGGAACTTTATCAGAGACGATGGATGATAGGTCATATTCAATGGAGCGATCGTTCCGGATGTAGGCAGGTGGACGAACATCTTTTGATGCTGATATGATGTAATCAGTTAGGGGCATTGACTGCTCAGTGACATTTTTGATGCGGCTCAGGACATGCCGGTAAGCTTCGAAGTATGCTGAAGATTCTGCCATGATGAATGTCTTTTCAGTGAAGATCTCTGCAATTTCCTCGTCCCTCTCGAGCTTGATTTCAATGAAGCCTTTAGCCAAATCCTCAGGCTTTCGGTTTGCAACTGTGCCGAAGACGAGGGTCTTGAAATCATCAGGTGACAAGATGACGAGTGAACCATAGATCAGCCGCTTCGACGATTGCCAACGAACGCCTTTGAGTTTTTTCTCATCGAAGTGAATCCTGAACGTAACTCCACTTTGTGAGTACAGTGGTTCGTCTAGTGTTACATCATAGTATAGACGAATGTCTTGGAAGCGTTTGTCACGTTTCCCTGGTCGAGCTGTTGCTATTTTATACTCATTAATGCCTTCTCTAAGTGGGCGGACAAAGTCTTCTCGGAGAAGACGAAATTGAACGTCAAGATAATGTTCGACACTTTCATACTTTCCCTTTGTAATGTTTGGTCGAAGGTAAGGACGCAGGGAATTATCTGTCAGTTCATTAGAGGTTGGAAACACACTGAGCTCACGGAAATTATCTGGAGGAGGTGTTGCGGGTTCGATATCCGTACGTGTCTTCTTTAGCTTTTCCTGTTGGATTGTCTCATGAAATTTCACAAGTTGGCGTACCTCGTCTTGAATTGTCTCATCCACAAGTATGTTCTTCTTCTTTGTGTATTTGACAGCATCTTCAAGGAGTGTCACAGCAACTTCAACATCTGTCAAGTTACTTGGAAGGCGTTGCTGTAGCTCTGACAGGACAATTGCGATATCTTGAATGCATCTAGGCATGACCCGTAGTTTGTTCTGGTTTTTCTCTTTTCTCATTTCAATAAGATGGCCGTTGAGATGTCTGTTGATGAAGTTGTTCCTTCCGAGCATATCTAGGAGCATGTTGATAGTTTCATTGGACACCTGCGCCTGGCAGACATGGTGATAGACCTGAAACAATAGCGATATCAGGTCATAGCGTATATCCGTCATTTCTAGAAGCTTGCCCAGACCTTGCTTGAGAGAACCTAACTCTTGTACTGCGTCGTCGGGGTCTTTTGACAGGAGCTGTTCTAGTGTTTTATAGCCTAAAGGATGAACCACACGAGGACCCCTTGCTTGGTTGTGGTGAGGTCCGCCGCGCCGATTCCTACATTTTTGAAATTTGATAAAGAGCAAACACAGGTAATCTTCAAAGTTTATATTCTACGTAATTAGAAGGAAAAAAAGTCAATTGTATATCCTCTCAAAAAGATGTTGGTTTTTGAGAAAAATTAGTCGTTTATTCATATTTCTATTCTATTCAAAGTGCAAACTTCTCACTACTAGTGTTTTAATATTGCTATTTATTAAAAATGTGTGAACAACCTCTCCTTGTTCTTTGAACTTAGCTTCTTGTTCTCATCCCTTTTCTCCCGTTCCTTAATAGTCTCATACGTGGTGTACCAAAACAAATGCGAAGAGATATCAATTGGCAACATATCAAAAGTACATAGCCATCCTCATGGAATTTCATAAGCTATACTGTAGCAGTGTCTCGTGAACCCGATGTGAATTTCACAAGGATTTATGGTACGACTGCAAAGTTGTGTTTGTTTTGGTAAAACACACCAATTTCCAAATGTTACAATAAACGTATACATTTCGCGTCTGCATTTCAGAACAAACATTGAAGTCAGTCTAATTCATAATCTCATGTTAAAATCACCAATGAAGCATTCCAGATTTAAAATATAGAAACAAAAGAAAATATTCCAAGACGTTTTGGTGCAAACAATCTTCAGCTTAATCATATTTCGATCACTATGACGTGAGCAGTGACCGTAATGCTTGCATAAATTACATTAATTATAAATCTATTGAAACCCCTTTTTGTAATGAGAATTGAAGTTATTTAGAGAGCTAGCCAGGAAATGTTCAGGAACAATTTTCACTTGTGCAATTCAACGCGCTAAACTTCTAACAGTTACAAATTGGTTCACTTCACAAAAATGATAAAAACTTTGTAACATTGGACCCTTGTGATATTCATACAAATATTATTAGATATCACTACAATATTACGTAAGACGTTTCGCTGAGAATGGATGAGCACTTCTTGAATATATTTCCAATCAAATTCTTGTTGCATTTCTTTTTTGTTGTGATACTCCATATGCAAGTCCACATTTGTACAGTACAGTCAGTGAATTTCTTTTGAAACTTTGAACTCGGGACATGACTTGTGAGGCATAAGAATGATTTTACTCAGCACTCTGAGTTTCAAGTTAGTCACACAAATAGATAGCATGCCGTATGAAATGATGCAACATTAATCCATTTACATATTATCCCAAAATAGACCTATATTTTCTATAAACATTTGATCATTTCAGAAAAAATAACACCGCCAAGAAATAATCAATAATATGGTTTGGTTACACAAAGTATCGCAAACGTTAAGTTTATTTCTGTGACGTGCACACAGAGTAAAGTAGGTGTAAATTGACTCCGTATAGGGAGTAACTGCTTGTCACATAAGTGACACCCCTTAGGGAGTAAATTTACTCCCCAATGTAGGGAGTAATTGTTTTTTTCCATAAGAAGGTGTTAATTTGCACCCCGAGGTTATGATTGTACTCCCTTTAAGGAGTGAAATTTGCACCCAATGGTGCTCATTTAACACCTTTTGGTTCCATTTTCATGAAAAATGGGTTCAAATTTACACCCGTGGGGTTGAATTTTATATCCTTTATGATCGATTCGACACCCTGTGGGGAGTAAATCTACACCCTTTTTATGCACCGCATCAACCAATTGATGATCCCTCGAGCAATCAATCATCCATGCTTCGTAATCACCTAACAGTCACTGATTCTCACCCTTTTGTCTACGTTTTACTGCTCTAAAGAAATCAGTCCAGAATGTCGAGTTATATGTTGAAAGGCTTCGCTTACCTACAATTAGTGTAAACTCACCACAAGTGCAGACTGTAAGAACTAACTTATGGCTAGACGTATCGGTTCAAATGTAATGGAATTAGCTAATTACACAATCCTGCCTTACCGTTGTTGTTGTTGTTGTTGTTGTTTGGTATTATCGGCGTTTCATTCTTTTTTAGAATATTTACGCCTTTCACTTTTTTTTCTTTTTTTTTACTATTTGTAAATTCGTACTCTTCTCTTTTTTTTTTTTTTTTATAATAATCTCAGACCTACTGTTCCATGAAAAACCCTTCACCGCAATTGGCACCTTCCTGCCAGACCGGCGCGCGATTATTTTTTTACACGCTAGCCTGGCCAGTTTCGCCGTAATACTCGTAAAAGTGCGCTGGTGGTAAAGCCTACATATAGGCATGCACTACCGCAGTTTAACTTGGTTGCTCTCTAGCTGAACGTTCTTTCGTTCGTTCGTGTCTCCTGAGATCAAGATTAATGTAAAGTTCCTAAATTAAATTAAAATAGATTGAGTGTTTGAATTCCATCGCCCGATGGCTGCGATGGCCGTCTCATTTACAAGGGCCAGCTATGTCTTTATCTGATGATTGTCATGCATGAGTCAAAACTCTTCTTCGGAGTATTAAATAGGAGGAAAAAAATCCAAGATCCAAGATGTAGGCCTACATGTGTGTCATCATCATAGAGATATATACTTAAGTGTTAGTAGTATATATCTCTTTGGTCATCATGCACTTCGCATGTAGGCTGCTAGACTAATATTAGTCGTTTCCATGGTGTTTATCAAAGAAATGGCCAGGCTAGCGTGTAAAAAAAATTGCCCAATCTTCTCGGCCATCATTATTCTAGGCAACTCTGGTGCCGGTGAGAGGATTCTGGGGTAGGACTTCAGAGTCTCTTGTTTGGGGTTTACCGTCCTCAATCCGTCTTTACTCTTTCTTTCCTTTTCTCTTATAGTATTTTTCCTTTTTGTAAAACCTTATTTTTCTATCAAAGTAGGTATCAACATCTTAGAGCATTTGGTTGTCGTGCGATATGTGCAAAAAAAACAACAACAACAAAAAAGAACTAGTAGGAACACTCAAAACGCCTCGTTCTACGAACGAAGCGGATCGGTGCTCTCTTGGTCGCACTTTCTGTTGATTTTAGGAGTTTCATTATTTCGTTTGGGCTCGTTATATCGCTTTCCATTATCAGCATTGCTTTTTCTATTGTATATTTTGGACATCCCATCAGATAGTGTGTTATTGTTTAAGGGGTGTTACAGTATTTACAAATTTTGTTGGCTTGGCCAGGTTGGGTTGTTTGGGATACCCATATTTTTGAGGGGTCTGAATTTAGTCCTATGTTGCAAAGTCTGAGCCTGCGAAGTATGACTTCGCAGTCTCTAAAAAGGGTACTCTCAAAGTTATGTTAAATTGTTGGTTTGAAAGGTCTTACGTTTGTTTTATTGTAATTTTGCCATTTTTCTTCCCAACTATTGTATAGTTCTTTTTTCAATACTGCTTTCATTTCAGACAAACATAACTTGTTATTTATTTGTATCTCTTCAGTTATACCGAATATCTTCCCTTTACTTACACGTATAAGAAGACAATTACGACTAGTTAGTAAAACAACACTTCTGCTAATTTCATTAAATTATCAAATATAACTTCGGTACAACCCCTTATTCTTGATCGGATAACTTTCACACAAATAATATGCTCAAATGAAACATGATAATTCCCCTAACATGACTAAAATATGTAAATTATGCTAATTTTTCTTCATTTGGCAGTACCTATATTGACACGATGTGCCATTGCTGTAGCGCATGCGCATATGCACTGACCAATCAGAGCTCGTCTGACTAAAATAGGGTGTAAAATTACATCCCTCAAATATACACCCTTGCGTATTTCCGTGTTTTACTCCCTAAAAGGTGTAATAGGAGCGCCTTATTTTTCCAATTTCGTTTTACTCCCCAAGAACACCTTTTATTTCTCTGTGTGTGGGAATAACAATGTCCACAATTGTCCATAGATTTCTTTATGAAATCATCGTCATTTTATAAGGTCTATGGTTTATGCTTTATTTACACCTCAGTCAAACCGTCCGCAACCGACTTTAAACAATTAAATTCATGACCACTCAGTGTAGTTTGCTTTCTATATGCGTCTATCATAGTTTTGTTGTTCTATTGTTCTTCTGGAGTCGGTGTTGTCAGTGTAATTAAGGTATCAGAGGTCATTTAAAATAGCGGCTCACCTATTTTCCTGAGCTCCAGCATCGTCATGTTCCTGTTCTTCTCCTCTTGGACGGTTGCCTATTCCTCCTCCCCTTGCTCCCCTTTCTCCTCCTCTCCAATGGCGGTCTCCTCCCTCTTCCTCTCTATCTCTCCTCCACCCCCCTGCTCCATGGTCACCTCCTCTGCCACCCCTTCCGTCTCTCCATCCTCCTCTTTCTTCCATTCTCTCATCTCGACGTCCTCCATGTTCGTCCCTGTCTCTCCATTCTCCCCTGTCACCCCCTCCTCCACCCCTTCCTCGTCCTCCCCGGTAGCCTCTTCGACCCCCTCTTCCTCTGCCACCATGGTAACCGACCCGCTGTCCACCTCTCTCACGGTCCATCCTCCAAGCTGTGCTCTTTACTTAACGTCGTCTAAAGTAAAACATAACCAACAGTATGATTTACCGAGGTAAGATTACCACTTGGTATATATATATATATATATATATATATATTGTTTTATAGAAATAATAACATCATATTCAATGCATACCCGTTGGCCTATTTCATTATCAAATAAAGTTTAGGTTAACACCTAATGTTTATGTTTACATGTTTATGATTCATAATGCTCTCGTAGGCCTGGCCAATAAATCCAGAGACGGCTCGCTTAGCTAGAGGTGTTTCGGTTTCTATGGAACATGCTCTGTCTCCAAGTGCTCCTCGGTCAATGTCAAACAAGAGCCAAGCTCGTAGCTTCGACCATATTCCAAATTGAATTTCTCATTAGTACGGGTTTAATCTGGCGGTTCATTACAAAGCATAAACTATACATGTGTATCGACATGTTCTTCTCAGTACGCCTATTATTAAGTTATTCCACAGTTGTTTTCCTTCCCTTCTACAAGCGTAAGAATAGGCCAGCTATATATTATAGATATAGTGATTGCTATGAGAGGCATAGGAAAATCACCACCGCGGACAATTGCTACCCCCCCCCCCCCCGGAGAAATTCCCCTCCTCACCCCCTAAAAATAACCCTCTAGCACAATTACCCCGCCCCCTGAAAATAACCCCCTATGATAATTACCCCCCCCCCCCTCCTCAGGACGACCAAGGACAACTACCCACGAGGACAATTAACCCCGTGGACAATCACCCCCACCCCTGAAAAAAAACTATCAAAGCCACCCCCTCCTGTTCATTAAAGGGGAATTCTACCCTGATAATAAGTTGGTTTTAATATTCAAAAGAAGATTCTTTTCCGGGGGATACTTGTCCACATGGGTTAATCGTTCTAGAGGGTAATTTTCCGGGGGATTAGTTGTCCAAATGACCATTGTCTGAATGAAGACACACTCCCGGTAGAAAAGTGAAACAAGTGCTTTTTTTGTCCTTCATGTTCAGACGTCCACAGCCATCAAGAATATTTGCGTTTTTTTATATATATTCTGAACCTTAAAATGGGGAGGGGCGTATTAAATCCATTCTGCACCCTCTTTTCGTTATTAATAAAATATTTTATTATTTTATTATTTTACACTCAAAATTATCACAGGATTGTATATTGGTCACAGCTCCGCCCCCCGCCCCCCCGCCCGATAAATGTTGTTAGTGTTATTTGCGGACAACACCACTTTCCGTTCTAACATTCATCTTCAAAAAAATAATGTTTTATCACCGTAGATCTTTGGTAATCCATATCCTGTTCTCGTGCATGTTCAATCGGTTTTGCGCAATGTCACCATCGGATGTGTCGTATCGGATTGGTCTTGCGCAATCCGCTTACATTCTGCATCACTTAGTGAACATATTGCAATTATGTTTATGTGGGGCACTCATGTTAAATGTAGATGAGACTAAAAACATTTTTTTTTAATGTGGCGTTGCTGATCTTAAAAGAAAATGTTCCTTAGTGAGTGAGATACTCAACTCATATTAGGTACTGTCAATCCAGTAGTCAAAATAGAAGAGGTGGTTGAGTTTAGTGGGGTGTTAAAAATGGAATGGGTGGCTTCAGAATTTGGTAAAAGAGGGGTACGGGCAATTACGAAATAATTGTGACAAGCATATCAATTATAAAACAAACACACAATGGTCCTCTTCAGCCAAGCTTAAAAGTGGGGTGGAGATGCCTTTGACTCACCCATCCTACCTCCCCTTTACAGAATTCGCCCTTGCTTTGGTCCAGTAAATAAGGAGGACTCCCATAATTTTGGAGCCAACGATCTTACTTGGTGGAAGGAATGCGAATTAAAACGTGTAACAAATGGTAAAGGGTGTCGAGAAGTGTCATATCTTCTTTTCACCGAACACCCCCCCCCCCTTCTCTTTGTCTCTCTCTTCATTGTCTATACTCTTCGACTGGGATAATACCCCCCCCCCCCTTATACTCCTAAAGACTACTGCACCTGTTGAGTCCCCTGTTGCGCCCTCGCCCACATTATGGGACCCATTACAATAATACTATGATTTATAATGTCTCAAGATTTGAAAAAAATAAAACTCAATGCAAAACTCGACTGGAGCCCCACCCCCCTCCCCCCCCCCCCCCTCAAGAAAAAAAGAAGAAATTGTATGTACAGAGCAAATTGGATAGAAGCTCGCGAGATATGTCACAATGTGGCCAATTTATGTTTGGTTGATCGGAACTTCACATATTCATAACTTGATCATTTTTAATCGGAATTTGCTCAACTTTTCACTGCCCTGTTCCTTAATTGCCCTTTTCTATGAAAATTAAATTAAATTTAGGAAGGACTGCCCCTTTAGTAATAGCTTCGCGTCATTTCAATTAAAGCGTACCGTTGTGCTGTTGAAAGTTGTACCCTAAAACTTGAATTTCAAACATAATAACGCTAAATTTTCCCTACGCTGGGAAGGAGGAGACAAGGGATTAGGGATTTACAGGGGGTATGAGAATTCCATGGTGTTAGCACAAGTAATACATAAAAGCAGTAGTTAAGTTATAGATAACCAAAGTTGCATAATAGTAACAAATGAAATCAGTCGAAACTCGGCCAGGCATTCAGAGAAATAATTTGTATGATTTTTTTAAGCAAAGGTCCTCATTTGTATAGTTATTCAAAGATTGTTTTGAATAAAGACAAGAAAAAAGAGGGGGAAAAACGATGAATGCAGGCCAAAAAAAATGTTAGATAGTCGAATACATGTGACGTACAATAATAAGACTATGACTAATGTACGTGTATGCGTGTACTTTGGGAAACGAATAGGGTAAAACATCTGACATTGGCCTTTATGATAACCACAGATGAAAGCGTAATAACAAATGAATGGAATTTGAAAGTTAAATGGTACATTTATATATCTTACATCAGCGTTTGCTCATTCGCATAGTTATTCAATGCTACAACAACAAATATATATGAGTATTGCTTTAATATAATGAGAAAAATATATTACAAAATTATCAAATGAAAATATATTAACAAAAAAAACAGAGATGCAGTCTCATCTTGATCATTTATGTCTCGTCAAAGAAAAGGCCAGACTCGTGGATATATAAAAGTATTACTTCACATACAGTATGCATACCTTATCTAGGATTCTCAAATCTGCCAACTTAGTTCAAAATGCATTCCCACTGCTGTGTCGGCGGCTGTTGATTGAACATTTCAAATGTGCCTATGCTCTTAAAATCTCAATCTCGACAGTCGTAATTTGTATGCGTAGACCTTATTCAAGATCTAAGTATGTAACGATAACGAAAGAATTCACATTCTCGGCAATCACACTTGATAATTATTGACTTTTAACAATCAGTTTATGACACGATCACGAAATCACTTTAAAATGTAAAAATGGCATGACATACAGAGTTGACTAGTATCTTTCCCGCGCATGCGCAATAGCAAGATGGGAATTCCAAAGATTTAAGGGCGTGTTTTCAGAGATTCACTCATTGAAATACGTCATAGATATTAAACATATTCAACGTGGTGGGTGGGGGAGGGGGAGGGGCAATCACCAACACCCCTCCCCTTCAATATCGTACTCTAGATGAAAAATTAGCCCATAGTCTTTGTCTTTAAACCATGCAGAGCACCGTCGACCCTCCCCGCTCATTGTGAAGTATTCAATCTTTTGCATTTTATATAATTTCCTGATGATATTTGATTAGCATATCTTTAAAAATGTCTGTATTTCGAGTTAAAATTGGACATCTGGTAGAGGGGAGAGAGGCTAACCACGTTTTGAATGCCCCCCCCCCCCCCAGCGCGCCCCTATATATTATAAGTGTTATTTTGCGGATACTACCACTTCCCGTTCTAACATTTATATCCAACAATAGAATGTGTCAGCACCGGAGGTCTTTGGTAATTCATATCACATTCCCATGCATGTTTGATAAGAATTGCGCAATGTCATCATGCAGGTGTGACGTGTAAGATTGATATTGTGCGATCCGCTTACATTCTACATCACTTAGTGAAAATATTGCAATTTTATTTCAATGTGGGGCACTCATGTTATAGATATATGAAACTAAAGGCATTTTCTTTATATGTGGCGTTGCTGATCTTAAAAGAAAATGTTCTTTAATAAAGAAACCTACTCAACTCATATTAGGTTCTGCCTATCGAATAGTCAAAATAGAAGAGGTATGGGGTGTTAACGGTGTAATGGGCGGCTCAAGAATTTCGTGAACGAGGGGGACGGGCAATTACTAAAAAAATTGACAAGCAAATAACTTTAAAACACTCAATGGTCCTGTTTAACCAAACCAAAAAGTGGAGTATAGACGCTTGTGACCCAACCATCCCCTCCCTACCCAGAATTCGCCTTCACACGGGTCTAGTAAATAAAGACACTGTCATTGTTCGGGGCTAACGGTCTTACTTGGTGGGTGAAATGCAAGCTAAAACGCCTAGCAATTGAGAATGAGTGTGGATAAGTGTCATTTCACCTTCGTTTCACCAAACACTCCCCCTCCCTTTCTCTCTCTCTCTCTCTCTCTCTCTCTCTCTTTATTTCCTCTACCATTCGACTATAGGCAACTGTTGAGTCCCCTGTAGCACCCCGTCCGTCATCTTTGAACCCTATACAATATTACTACGATTTATGACTGTTAGAGGGTGTCATACATCGACGCCTTCAAAGAAAAAATATAGATATCTTCGTGGTTTGAGAATTTTTTCAGGATTTTTTGCATGACAGAGGGTTAGTACAGTAAAAGGAATATAGTACGTAACATTTTATTAAAAAAATAAGCAATTTTTTTCATTAACCTTTAACAATGTTACCAAGATAAAGATAAAGTTGAGTTCTGGTCATCCGATTGCATTGTGAAAGAAAAGGTGTGAAATGGATCAGGAAAGGTTGATCATGTAGCATGTAAGTATTTCGTGTGTACTGCAAAGTTCTGGAGTCATGAAAATCAAAATAAATTTGTCCCAGTCTTGGTAAAGTAACAAGCACTGCACATAGAAAGATGTATATGGGACTGCACAAATGGTGTAGGGGCTACCAACTTTTTATTAGCACAATGTAGATTGGGTAACTTCTGATGCAAATGAGAAAGAGACTACCTCGCTTAGTAAATATGAGGTGAAAATTGACAGAATATTTGATAGTTTCTTTGTTGGAATGAGCTGAAGCCTTTAAGATCCCCCCCCCCCCGTCACCAAACACACACAGACAAAGACATGTTATTACCTCGTACATGTATGTACAATGCCCCCTCCCCTAATGTAGATGGATCAACGCCCTTGCAAATGAGGAAAACCACCGACACGATGATACAATACAGATACCACAATGGAAGAACAATGTTCGGAGATAATAAGCATAAACAGTTTATTTATATTGTGATTCGTTACATGATTCTGGACAACAGCAAAAATACAAAAACTTGAGCTCGGTAGTCATGTGAAAGAAATCTGAAATAATTATGCAGCACACATGACTTGATATATGCTGTGAGGTTTGAAACGATCAAAATGAAAAGAAATTGACTGAATATTGTTGAAAATCACAAGAACCGCGTACGAAAATTAGTATATGACACTGCACACACATCTGGCATGAAAATTTGGTCCAAACAAAAAGTAGTAAACATAACAAATTTTAAAAATACATTTTTTTCATTGTTCTATTTCATGAACACGTGTGAGTTAAATCTTCATCATAAAATTGAACACCAATCAACCATGCTATTATAATAAACGACCGTGAGGATATAAAGTCAGTATAATAATATAATGTCAACCTTTCTTCCCGAATTCTGACAAGAATAATTTCTCCATAATTTAGTACGTGTCACTTGTCAATATTTTCAATTTGAAAGTACATTCTTTGATCGACTTTCATCTAATACACTGTTCTTCCTTGTCAAACCTTAACAACGATAATAGTAAATTATTGGTATTAGATGATGGAAATTTATTCAACATGTAATGAATAATTCCACAAAACCTTTAATGACAATCTTGATGTTTATACATAATATTGATGTTGTACATATTCTACCGATTCTTTCTCATATTTCAATAGATACGATAGATAATTTTCACCAACTGCATGACCTAGGAGTATATATATATCCTCTTCATTTTATCTTTGGTTCTATGTGTTCCCTTCCACAGGGTTCCTTTAATACATAATATCATTCAAATTAAAAGGAAGAGATATATACGTGCACAATTTCAAAATGATATATTTTTGGCCATTCAAAAGATAACAAGAACATACATTTATAAATATCAGTTACAAATTGCAGTTCATTTTTAAGATACCACATATTTACTTTTAAGATTTAATTTTTTTTCAGAAGAAATAAACAATTAGAAACACTTTGTAAAAGGTAACTACTTGCTCATAGATGTCTTTTCTTTCAGATTTGTTTTATATATATATATATATATATATATATATACTTTTCCATATCATAATAATACTTTATCGCTTATATTGTTTTAAAAAACCGGCAAACAATGTTTGCATTTAGCTGCAATTTTTTTTTTTGCACTGTTGTTATTTCAATGAAACCCAAACAATTTATTTTGATTTTTAAACTTAATATGTACATGATTACGAGACAGCCAATGCTCAAGTTTTAACGATATTTTGTTGGAATAAATACAGTAACATAATATTTGTATATCTTTTTTTATCTTAACAATATCATCGCTTCTAATCAAACCTATCGATTACAAAAAGCATGAGTAATATTCAAATAAACTTTAAACATGAAACGTGACAGAATGAATCACTGCTCTACATGAAATAGACTTCATGTACATCTCATTTTCTATTTACATCATGTGGGGTTATAATAGAAAATCGTAGTGTTTAACAATGCTTCAATTTCTGAGTAGGATGGTTGTTCATGTAATACCGACCAAGAGACAACATTCATATGTTAGTTCTCAAAATTCACCTGTCACTACACGTTTAAAAGTACATAAAGTTCAACCTTATCAACATTGCATATTAAACACATGCAACAAGTTTTTTCACATGTGCGTCATCTTAAAGCAATACTGAACTGATGAACTTTCTGTCTTTTAGCAGACTGTTAATTGCACAGCGCCATCTCGCGGTCAACTTGCCAACACTGTATAACCATATAACTAATTTCAACTTCGCAGACAGAGGACTCGATGCGAAAACCAACAGCTCTGCCATATAAGCAGCGAGTTACGAGACCATACTGCTACATTTGACCTGAGTGGGCGCTAAGAGGGATATTGCGGTAGGGCTTCTAGTACAGTATGGCTTTAAAACAACTTTGAATCGTTTGGATCCGATCAATATCATTATTTTAAAAGTTCCAATTTGTTATCCAATTGTGATACTCTACTCCTGCTTGATGTAAACGAATGTACACCTAAAGTGCATGTATATTGAAGATCAAGACAGTGGAGATCTATTTACAACATATTGAGACGAATTATATTCTTATAAAGACAAATATTTGTCTGTGTTCTTCTATATTTCTACAATACTACTAAGTATTTCACAAAGAAAAGGCTTGGTAAAACATATTTTTATGCGCCGGTACGGTTGAGAAAAACCCGCACTGAAGAAATACCAATTGTCTCATAGCATGGACAACAGAAAAATATCATTGTTTGATAAAGTCGAGTGATGTTTTAGTATTCTGCGGGCAGCGAAGCGAACGGGTATAGAGCAAATGATCCGATTGAGATAAAATCGGAAAATATAAAGAATATTTACATACGTTACGAAACGATTATTCATACCTCATAAAGCACATGCGAAAATGATGGTTCACATGTACTTTGACGCAGTCTCTTAGTATTTCTCTGCTCAGGCCAATTGTGTGCTCCTGCAGAGCCTAGCCAGTGCTCATTTGGTCAATACCAATTGTTTCGATATTTCAATCCTTTAAATGACACATAAAATGCTTTCTCTTTTTGCTGTCGACATTGTAGTCTCGCATATCTTTCAAAAGCCCTTCAAATAAATAAGGAAAATTCATTTCGATAAAGGATATTTAAACCCATACATTCTTAACAGATCAAAGAGACTTCGGAAAATCAGTGTACTACGAATTCGTTATCAATTTATTCCCCATGCGTTGTTCATCTCAAAGAACAAAATAATAGCTTGGATCGATTACAATCTTTTAATACAGCATTATGATTTATCTGGATAAACATCGATAATGCGAAGGTCAGTGGAATTCATAAACCGTGTTTGATATTGATTGTATACATCTTCATGCAAAATGACTAGCAATATCTGATGTACGAATATTCTGATCGCGTATTCGGGCTCAAAACGGGACATAGAATCTTTGGTGTCCTCCTCTGCGACCACCCCTTCTGCCTCGACCTCTTCTTCCACGTCCTCGTCGCCTACCCCGCTGGCCTTGCTGACCACCGATATCTCGCTGACCAGGCACATTCTCTCTAGGGCGTCCTACAGCTGCATGAGCCTCGGAGAGGACTCTCTCCTGCTCAGCCAAGACGCAGTCCTCGCATGCGCCCGTCTTTGGCTGATGGTTCGAAACGGGATGTCCTTTGGCACAAGTAAGCCACATGGTTACTTCTAAAGAAAGACGTGGAGTGCGTTTGAAAGTCGGTAGGTCATTGCCAGTATTGCTGATCCCATTAGCGCTGCGAATTCTATTGAGGAGGTCATGTGCTAATGTCATATTCCTATCCCGGCCCAGGATTTTGAGAAGTCTGGGTACTTCGGTTGATTGTTTTGGTCCTCCCCTCAGTACTTCGGCCAAGTCACACATGATCGTCACTCGATTCATCTCATTCCAAAGGTCGTTCGCGTGCTGATCTACGAGAACATTCGGTAATGACTTGCTATGTCTTTCCAGTTCCTCTGTTGATGCCAGGAGTAGTTCCTGAAGCTTGTCCCGAAATGGCAGAAGCACCATTGACTTTCTCTCCAACAGTGCCTCAAACAGCGCAGAGTAGATCCCTGATGATAATTTGGGTGACAAAAGTGGAATGGTTTCTCTCGCCGACATGACGGCTGAGTTGACTATACGGAGGAGGTGTTTGTCTTCACTGCTATTGCGAGCACCCTGTAGCTTTTCCACGATTCGCGGCTTAATCGCTGAAGATTCTCTCAGGAGATTATTGTAGCGACGACTCAACTGGATTGGTTTTTCGCATCTTGGACAGGTTTTTACCTTAAAAATGATACAAAATAAAAACCTATATTAATTTTACAGTGTCACAGTAAGCAATTAAGACCAAACTGACTGATACATCAAAAACGTTAGGAGTTAAAAGAATGTATTATTTTTAGAAGAGTTATTATGAATTATGCCAAATTCTTGTTCGTCTACTTTAAACACATTTACACGTACATGTCCTTCTTGATTAAGAGGTTTGTCTTGTTCTATAAGTATATAATATCTATCTACGACAACGCGTACTAGAAGTATTGTGATATGATACGAGTGATAAGAGTGAAAGAACAAATCAATTGATATTTAATGAAAAAAAATGTTGTAGTATTACCGATAATTTGGTAAATATTTCTGCACCGTCGGATTTTATGCCGAATCCCAGGAACTTGTCAAGTCCTTCTACCTCAAAGTAATGTCCACAGTCTTCTAGTTGAATATACCTATATACGTAGCAAAAGAAATTTTGAAATTTGTTAAATCATGCATGTAGCTCTGCTGTTGGCATATTCTCATACAGTTTTAAGGAAATGTTTTTAATGGTTCTACTTCTTTTCTAATAATTAGAGTTTATCTTTCAAGGAGCATGACGAGCAATATTAATCTAGATGTATTATCGAAGTACTAAAAGGGTATTTTGTTCCATTGAGATCTATTTTTTGTTTTACATAGACATGTAATGGTAATGACAAAATGACAAAATCTAAGCAGAAAAATTCCACAGGTTAACCTTTATATTGTATAATTAGTTTTGTTAACATGAAGCAGAATGAGATTATTCAAAGTCATCTTTTTTTCACATGTTTTGTAGGTGTCTTCCTCGATTTATTTGCTAAAAGGATGGTTATATAAAATTCAGCTCACCTTGCTGTCTGGATGTCTTCAGTCCCAAAGAAGCGTTTCTCCAAATCTTCTTTGTCGCAGGTGCGACATTTATTGGGGCAGATCTCACCACATAAGCCGATGCAAGGGTGACCACATTTCCGCTTCTTTGAACAGGGCTTGTTGCATGGGGGTCTGTCACAAGGCTCGCAACACAACGTCTTGCACTCAAAATGCTCACATTTCCAGGTGCAACGTTTCATACAAACATAACATGGCTTACTGCAAGGATGCTTGCACTGCGAGTGACGACAACGCAGAGGACATTTCTTTTCACATGAAAGACATGGTGCACCGCAATTGAGGGCGCATTCGTGCCCGCACACCAGCTTTTTCTTACATGTCTCAATGCAGGGGTGGTGATAACGACCTTGTGAGCATTTTCCACAGGTCCCTTTGCACTTGTGTCCACATATCAAGATCTTCTCACAGGCGATGTAGCATGCGTCGCTTTCTTCGCAGCATTTAACTGTTACCTCATGACCACATGACCAGTCATCTCTGGTGATTATCTCTGTGCAGTACTCAGTGCAATCCACCCCGCACCTTTCCTTGCAAATGTGGTTACATGGAAGCTGCTTGATGCACCTTTCTTTGCATTCTACTGTTTCTAATTTGATCGAACAAATAATCTTCAATTTGTGACCGCAAGGCAAGGTTTTCTCTACAACTTCGGAACATTTACTGTTATGACAGCACTTCTCTATGATTTCGTGTCCACATGAGCGACTTTTTCGGGTAATCGTGTTGCACAGAACATTGACAATACTTGTGGAACAAAGAAGAGTATGTGTATGTCCACATGGTAGGGTTTTCTCAACATTTTCCTTGCATCTGATGTTCTCTGGATCTTTATGGCACGCTGCTTGGCAGGTATGGTTACATCCCAGAACTTTCAAGACTATCTCGTCACATCGACCACTACCATTACATTTCTCTGTCTTTCTGTGGCCGCACTGGAGTTCCTTTTTGATGATGACCTCGCACTCTTTTTCAAGTCCCTTGGTTGGCATGTGGCATGGAAGAAGATGGACATGTGAGCAACCTAAAGTTTTGTCAACCTTTTCCTCGCACATGATGTACCGAATGTCGGTCTTACACTCCCTTTTGCAGACATGAAGGCAGGGCAGAAGCTTCTCAACAATGACTGAACAAGAGGTCGAGCAAAGATCTGAGCAGAGCTTTGGGCATTTGTGGTTTTTCTCACAGATAACCTTGGAGCACGGAGCCTTGCACTTGTAGACGAGATGCTTTAGATCTGTTGGGTGACACTTTAATCGACAAACGTGTCCACAATCAAGCCTGGTATCACAGTCTCTATTACATCCTCCTAGTGGTACCTTCTTAAAGTCATCGGCAGTTTTGACCGCTGTCCTCTCCTCTGGATGATTGGTGCATTGCAGCGTAAGGGAATCTCCGATTGATCCCGTTCCTTCTAGATCTTTCACTATTCCCTTCCATAGCTCACTCTTTTCTGCAAAGAGGGTGAAGTTTCCAACGCAGAAGATCCCTTTCTTTGCTCTTGACAAGGAGACACAGACTCGGTTCGAAATCCCCAAGAATCCAATGCGCCCATGATTGTTGCTCCTCACAAAGGACAAGAGAATGATATCATTCTCTTCTCCCTGGTAGTTGTCTATCGAAGTAACTTTGACACCCTCAAACTTGCTTTGATCCATCATCTGCTTGATTTTCAGTAGCTGACCTGTATAAGCTGTGAGGATTGTAACCTTATCAGGTTCATACCCCTGCTGCAGGAAGTAGTAACACAATGCCACTACGAGTCTGGACTCATGGAGGTTGTAGTGACTCTGTGTATCGTCCATTTCATCTTCTGGTTCTGCGTGATCTAGAAAGAAGATATCCTTTTGAACTGCTTTCACACTTTCGTATTGCTTCACCGTGTCATGGTCTTGGAGGTTGTCATAGAAGTGCCTTCTCATCAGATCCGACAGCTCGATACGCATCCGATGTTGCAGCTCAAGCTGTGAGTAAGGAAATCCATTGTTGATAAGTCTTTCAAACAATGAAACGTCCAGATGATACTTCTTGGCCAGGAAGTACACGTTCGGTTTCGGTCGAAGTTGCTGGTGATCTCCAATGAGTATGAGCTGTTGACATGATGCATTTAATGCCGTGATGATGTGTGCCTCCAGTACCTCAGCTGCTTCCTCTACTACTACGATCTTTGGCCGGACTCTCTGCAAAACCTGTTGGTGATTAGCTGCTCCAGTTGTAGTCATACCGATTATAGTTGCCTGTCGAAGGACGTGGTATTTCCCTACGCCTTTAGCCTCATCTAGCTGACCACAAAGCTGCTTGAATTTGATGTCATATGCTGACAGTTTTCCTTTCAAGTGTTGAAGATAGTTTTGCAACCAAATATGGTAGAGTGCCCATCGGTCATTAGGATGCATACGCCAAACATCCTTAATTGATTTAAGAGTACCTGGATCGAGGACATCTTTGCCATACATCTTCTTTTGAATGAACCTCCGCAAGACACCATCCTCTGCTTTGTCCAGATCATCTATTTCAAGGCCAAGGAAAGGGTAGTCTTCATCTTCATTAGATTCAGAATCTGCTTCTTCATCTTCATCAGAATCTTCCTCACCATATTCGTCATCAATCAGTCTTTCATACTCAATTGCATTTCGTTCATATTCTAACTCGATAGTTGTTTCATTTGCCACAGGAACATGCTTTGTGCTTTCTTTCTTCTCATCTTCTTGCAGGTTATCGCTTTGTTCTATAGTATACCGCTTCTCTTGCCCGTTCCAATCCCTGTCATTATGACGCTCACAGAGAAGCCACTCTACAAGCCAGGAGTTTGACTGTTTAACATCAGAAAGACGAAGGAGGCTGTTGTAATGCCGCCATGACATAAATGGGCCTAGTTCGAACTCGTCGATGATCCCATTTCTTGCACCCTCTATCCTAGCTTGTGTTATATCCACACGTCTCTTTGTAGCGTCAACGTCTTCCTTGACATCACGAACCCTTCGCTGAACGTACTCTTCATCATGTATTCCCCTCCGACCAACCATCCGACTAAGGTTGAAGGGCTGCAACTTCTCACTCTTGCTACGGCTTCCAACTCGAACGATTCCAGTGTGATGGAATGTTAAGATCCCCTCCAGAAATTGATCCAATGCATGATTTGTGTAGCACACGAGTAATATTGGGGTAGGGTTTTCTTCACTTGACCAGGCTTCTCTGTTAAGGAGAAGAGTCTCTACGATCTTCAGACCTATGTGTGTCTTGCCGGTACCTGGTGGGCCCTGTATGACAGAGAGTTCTTTGGTGAGAGCCGTCTTGGCAGCTTCATATTGTGATTGGTCGAGCTGTACATCATCGATATCGGGCCAAGCACCATCGTCAAGCACGGCGACTATTGGAGAGCATCGTCGGTTGCCTTTCAGCAGAGGTGAGATATCGATTCTACATGGATAGATGAACATTTCATCGTCTTCAGTTACCATCCGATCTTGGAGATACTTGGGTGGCTTTACATCATGAAACATGCTCAAAGTGTATTGGGAAAACGGCAAGCATGGACCAGACATTCGCTGGAGACCCAGGAGAACTGGGCGATAAGCTTCAAAGAAGACAGATGACTCTGCCATCACAAACCTCTTATTAAGTAGACATGATGCATCTTCTCGGCCGACCAATGCTATGGCTACCATTCCCTTCTCTAGATCTTGTACGTCCCGTTTGGCTACTGTTGCAAATATGTATGATTTGAAATCATCCGTTGATAGGATGAGCAATGATCCGTAGATGAGTCGTTTTGTCAAATGCCATCGGACAAGAGGTATTCTCTTGAAAGCCATGTAATGTGAAATTCCGGAGAAATCACGGACAGATTTTTCGTAGTGAGCTTCCTCGTAGATTCGCACATCCTGAAGTTTGACTCTTCTGCCAGGGTTGGCCTTCTTTGAAGTTAAGTACTCTGATATCCCATTGCGAAGAGGATAGATGAAATCTTCCTTCAGGAGTCTGAACTGAACATCCAGGTAGTGGTCTGCATCGGCATATACACCTCTCGTCAGATGAGGACGGAGGAACGGCTGATATCCGGGTTGCAATTCCTTGACAGTGGGAAGAATGTCTTGCTGGCGGAAGTCGTCAGGGGTGGGTTCTTAGAAATGCGGTCCATCTGTCTTTTTCTTTCCCTTTCTTTGTCAATGTCCTCAATGTGACTACTCAACGACTTAATTGACTCCATGATGTCATCATGTTTGTCGTCTTCATCCATGTCTGATACAGCATCGGAGATGAGAGTGACAGCAACTTTGAGATCTGAAGCACGGCTTGGCAAACTTTGCATGGCTGAGTGGAAGACAGTGATGACATTCTTCAAAATTTTTAACCGTCTTGCGTCGATGTTCTCTCTTGGACGCCTGAGATTGGTCAAAAACGTGAGTAAATGCTGACGACAGAGTTTGGACTCGAGGGCCATTGTCAGGAGCATGATCACTGTTTGTTCTGCACCTAGAGCTCCGCAAATAAATGCTAGAGCCTCCCAAAGGAGATGTTGTTGTACCTCACTCATCAAGTCTTCGTTGAGACCGGCTTGAAGGCTTCCCTTCAGGGACCCAAGTTCTGTAGCGGCCTCGGAAGGGTCTTTCTCAAGTATTTCACTGAGAAGTCTGGAACTAAGTGGTCTGAAGTTACCTTGGTTCTTCGGGTGTCTTCCTTGGGTCTGTCCATATCTAAAATGTTAGAAATGAAATAAGATGAATATATACATATTGATTCATATTCATGTCTCGAAAAGCTTTTATTCACTTTTACCTACTCCTTTTCATAGATTTCAAGATTGATACAAACTTTTGTACTCACCGTTGAAAAAGTAGTGTATACAAACTTTAAAAGGGCTAATTATGTACAGATTCTACTAAACTGACTAATTTCTGCTTTATTACAATAAAGTAGGTGTCATTATTTTAAAAAAATATTGACCTATATAGCTGTATGAGACATATTTAGTGCAACACATTATCATTTGTAAGAGAATATTGGTCCATATCGGCCTATGGAAACAAAACATGCAAAGCGGTCTATACCTAGTATTTTCCTGTGTCCGATAGCCCTCTCTTCTAGATCTAGCTACGTTCTGATCCATGTGGCCCCCTCTTTGACCACGGCCTTTAGCCCGATCGCCTGGCTGTCCGGCTTGTTGCCTGTCGTTGTAGCGCTGGCGGAATGGGCCTCCTCTGTTATCGTCTCTTTCGCCTCCAACTTCCCTTCCAGTTCCCCTTCCTCTCACTCCTTCCGGGTCCCTTACTGCTCTTCGGAAGTTATATCCTCTGAACCTTTCATCCATCATGGTATCTCCTCTTTCACGTCTTCCTTGCCTCCAGTTCTGTCTCCTCCACTTGCCGTTATCTCCCCCAATGCTTTCAGCCATCATGGCGTCTACTCTTTCACGACTTCCTTCCCTCCAGTTCTGTCTCCTCCACTTGCCGTTATCTCCCCCAATGCTTTCAGCCATCATGGTGCCTCTTTCATCACGGCCTCCTTCCCTCCAGTTCTGTCTTCTCCCCATGTCGTTATCTCTATCCGTTACAGCTTCTCTTACTTGTCCTCCATCACCGTCTCTTTCGCCTCCAACTTCCCTTCCAGCTCCCCTATTTGCATCATGTCCCCTTTGTCTCTCTCCTTCTATGTCCCTTTCTCCTCTTCGGAAGTTATCTCCCCTGAAGCTTTCATCCATCATGGTGTCTCCTCTATCACGACTTCCTTCCCTCCAGTTCTGTCTTCTCCACTTGCCGTTATCTCCCCCAATGCTTACAGCCATCGTGGCGTCTGCTCTTTCACGACTTCCTTCCCTCCAGTTTTGTCTTCTCCACTTGCTGTTATCTCCCCCAATGCTTACAGCCATCGTGGCGTCTGCTCTTTCACGACTTCCTTCCCTCCAGTTCTGTCCTATGGACATGCCATTATCTCTATCCGTTACAGCTCCTCTTGTCGCACCCTGGCGGAATGGGCCTCCTGTGTTGCCGTCTCTTTTGCCTCCAACTTCCCTTCCAGCTTCCATCTCTCCATCATGTCCCCTTCCTCTCTCTTCTTCTGTGTCCCTTTCTTTTCCTCGGAAGTCATCTCCCCTGAAGCTTTTTGCCATCATGGCGTCTTCTCTATCACGTCTTCCTTCCCTCCAGTTATGTCGTATCGACATGCCGTT